CGTTGTTCGAACGCCAGAACGTGATAAAAATTTCCTTTGGAATAGCAACTTCTACAGCATTGGTGTGCCATGTTTCAATGCATAACGATTACGGTATCGTATCTCGCACACAAAACTAAGCTAGTTGCATACACCTTCTTAGGTTCTTCAGAAATCTGGCTTGCTTGGACGACTTAATTTTGCATTTCTCGAAGTGAATGTTTCCAGGTTTTTTTAGCGTTCCCGAAACCGAAGGTGAGCCTCGATGCTTTGTTCGATGCATGTACCCTACAACATAAGACAACCCCTACAAAAAAGGTGAAGTGGCTTGAACTATTCCCCTCGTAGGTATCCAAGCGGGTCTATCGTCTCCCCATCTACACAACCACTGTTGCGTTGTAGGCAAGCCCTGAGACAAAACTGGCCTACAAGAGCACTTAGGTAATGGTTGAGGTGCAGAATGAACCAAAAATGGGAAAGAATGCAAAAAAAATCATCGAAAACACTAAGCTAGGAAGCCGGATCTTTCCAGAAGGTCTGATATAGTACGACGGTGATTCAGAGCGATCAGAGAAGCGAGATTACGGGAGAGAGCACGCCCGCCACCGTAAGAGGGCACTGTCTTCGGGAGCACTGACAAGGCCCTACCGCTCTTGCGGCAAAATTTCGAGCCATGTCAAGGGCGCATCGGTAGGCTTCCCGAACACCTCCGTCCTGTTCAACTTTTCGAAGGAATTAATCCAGGAAGTTATCCTGAGAGGGTTTGCCTTTAGTTGCCCTGCCTAAGGGGATGTGGGTAGCAGCCAAGGTCAATCGCACGCTCCGCGAACCTCAGCTTTAAATGTGGAATTTGAAAAGAATCAAGATGAATTTGAACAAAAAACAAACGTTGATTTTTTCTCAAAACTCACTCAGTCGGTATGTTTCCTAGAACTTTTATTTGATAGCGTCGAGATAGCTCCGCATAATTGGTGGCAGTGATACCAACGACAGCCTATCAGTTCACATGAATAAAGAGATTAAATAGAAAAAATACTTTAGACTAATGAACAAAAGGCCATGATTTACCTTGGCAAGATTACATAATCAGGTTTCTTCACGGAACGCAGAGCTAGAAAAAGTGTGTAGAGGTCAGGGAAGGAGGACAGCACACGTTCATGGTGGACGGAGCGTTCGGCAAGGGACCAAGCAAGCCAACGTAAGGTTGTCATTGCTAGAGGGAAGGAACGAATTTCGAACCACCCACCCGCTCCATTGATGCGTCTGACCTGTTTGGGTCCAAGACCTAATTAGCTCTCAGGACTTTGGAATCTACGGACCTGCTCCTGAAAAGGTCTCAGACGAGCTTGAAGGAAATCGCTTGCGCTCCGATGGATGCATTCCATGAAAGACTCAAGGCCCTGAACTAAAACTGATGGGCCAGGTTTATATACACACTTACAGCTGCATAATCTAGTCATTATGCGGTCCGTGATGTGAAAGCACACTTGACTCCAGCCTCGGCCGCGTACTACGTACAATGCAGACAAATTATGAAATTTGATGAATCGACGTGAAAGTTCTGTCCAGCCGCGCAGAGGGTACTTATTTAGAGGAGTTCTTGGGCTACATATGCTGCTTTCCGTCGCCTTTCCAGTTCACCCTTTTTGTTTTTGTCCATTCTTAAAATCGAATGGTGCACTCTGCGCTCGCGACCTTTTCAGATGTCGCACAGTGACTAGATAAAACTTTTAAAAGATGATGTTTTCTTGCATCACACCTTCTCTACGAATTATAAAAGTTGCTGGAATAGTGGTAGCGTAGCCCAAAGCCATACGTTCACTTGTGACAAATTATTGTTTGTTGTGTTGCGGAGCTGTGAAGATGGGAACAAGTTTTCGGGACAAAGAAATAACTCAGGCTGAAGAAAAATTTTGCTACTTACCAGAACTAAATCAAATGGAATTGGAAAGTGAAATGCTGTGCTCAACCATGGTGAGATGAATTCTTTGCCAAAGATCAAAAATGTCAGTGATGATAAGGAAATAGCCAGAGTAGGATAATGTATATTGCCAATATTCTCAATAAGATCACATATCCTCTGAAAAGCTTGAAATTGAGAATCACAATCACAACCATACTTATATATAAACGTGGAAATAAATAAGGAGAACGACGGCCCAACCTGCGGGTTTCAGGCCATTTCCTTTAGCGTTTCATTCCTCACTGTACTGCTTACCACTTTAACTCCCCTTTGTAACTTTCAACCAATCCATCGCACCACCCTCCTTTAGGGAGTGTACGACTTCATGAATTTTCGCTTGAATTCGGACTAAGGCTCGTATCACGAGACCATCCACTTCTTTTATTACACATGTATAAGTATTATGAAGTTCAAGTGCTTTTGTACAGATCTACTGCTTTTCGTGAAGGTTTCAGTTAAGCTGCTTCCAGCATGTTCCCTTGGAATCATAGCTTAGTTTGTTCATCTTAGGAGAACCGTAAAATATAATAGAATGGGATTACCAAAAAGAGTAACTTCGCCCATGGCTATGACGTTATCTGCCATCACCGTCGAGCTCAAGGAAGCCAGCT